TGGGGCTCTCTCTTCGCCGCGGGGACAGCTGAGTGACGGACGGCCGTATAAACGCGATAATAATAATAATAATAATAATAATAATTGGCAACGGTCCCGCTGAGTGACGAGTGGGCAACCGTTACGCTGAAGCGCATTTTTTTCAATGTACGTGGAAATATATATATATATATAAGAAAAAAGGTCTGAGCTTTGATCCCGCTGTGATACTGCCCAGCTCCGGCTGTGTGTAAACTGGACCGACGATGCAATATCCTTGACGGAAAGGAGAAATACGCATACTGAGCCCCCAGAGAAAAATATATTATCCTAAAAACGCTAACACATAATATAAAGTTCACGTTATATAATAGACTAACATGTTTAAATCATTATGGTTTATTTATTTTATTTTATTTTTTTGTTTTTTGAGGACGTTCTATACGACTTAAGCCAGTGATTCTAAACCTTTATAAAGTTGTAAGTAGATTTTCAATATTTTTTCGTGACACTTAAATTTTAAGTGTAGGGTGATCTCCAGATGGAGAATCCGCTACCTTAAACCAGGGGTGGACTGACGTAAAAAATCGGTTCGGGTGATCATAGCTCAGCCGCTCAAGTGTTATAGTATTATACAAATAGCATTATACCAGCATACATTTTTTAATATATTAATAGCCTAGACAGATAGAATAAGTGACTTTTCCTCACTCCCAATTATTCAATCATCGTCGTTTGGTCTATTTGCAATATACAATTAAAAAAAAAAAAATTAGTGTCCTCAATTGTCAACTAAAATATACAATTATTATCGTAATCTATTATCGTAAGGCCGAAAATCCTAATAGCCCAGGGGGCGATCGTCCACCCGCCCTTAAACCCAGTCCGCTCCTGCCTTAGACTATTTTTTAGTACTATTCCGTGTGTCTTTATTTAACTAAATTTAGTTAAAATCTATCGCCACATTGTATGTATTGATAATACGTTACTTATATAAATACATGATACTAAAAATAGAAATAGAATAAAAATAACTGTGTTTTATCAGAAGTTGTTTTTTTAACACCAAAGTGTAGAAATTAAATTGTACTTTAAAAAAAATAATACAAATTACAAAAAACTAAAAATTTAAAAGAATTAAGTACTTAAAAGTAATAACCTTCTTAGAAATAAAAATATTAAAAAATCTTCAGGTAAAATTCACAAATAATATATTTTTATTTAAGTTATACTAAATAATGATGTCTTAATTTAATAATTTAATAAAAATAATTGAAATACGAAGAATAGTAGTTAATACCACTTAGTATTTATTATTTTTATATGTGTAAGATAGAAAAATATTTTACTTATGCGTTTTTTTTTAATGAGGAAATACTACCTATCACAGAAGTATTTTTAATTTTACTCTAGATCGACAAAATTAATTTTTGTGTATTGGCTACTTGATAATCGTGTTTCTATTATAAGTTAAAAACAATTCGATCAAAATGTGAGTTAGGCGTTGCCTTTTAGTGACATTAGTTCACGTATTTTTATATAATTTTAATGACGCGTATAAATAGCGTTCACATTACAATCTATAAATGTATTTTTATAATTAATAAAATATTAATGTAAAGATTATAATATTTAATACTAGCTGAAATTATCTAAGAAATTATTGATATGATAGAAGAATTCATTATGAACTAAAAATAATATGAATGGGGCTTATCTTTATTTTGATAAACTATAAAAAAAAAAAATTGTTTAACAATTGTTCGACATTCGTTGATTTACGTTGATATTAAAAAAAATCTGATCCTGTTATATTGTATAGATTTTTTTAAATTTTATTATAATTCTAAATTGATGTGTATATTTCGTTTTTAAAATTTCTCATATACATGGTAAAAAAATACCAACTGTATATATTATTAACAACACCACCATTACGTGATTGGTCTGCGTGAAACTTTTGGACCACTTTTTACTTTTTATTATTAACCCTAAACATTATTAAATTACTTATACAAATTAAAAGTAAGGCCTATTATCTTTTATCAGAGTTAAATGATTACAAATTGTTTTCTCCCTTGACATTATTATTGATATAAATTAATCTTCAAAAAAAAAAAAAAAAAACAGGATGCAAAATAATTAAAGACAATAATTTTATTATTTCCAGAGAAATTATTTTAAGATATGTATAGTGTTTAATATACATATATTTTGTATGTATAATATAATTTTAAATTATAATCTCTCTTAAATGGTTTCTTATATATACTTGATAGAATTTTTGTATCATAATATCTAAACAAAATACTATTAATGTCATCTCATGGACAATTTATACAATAAACGACAATCGTAGATGTCGGCTATTTTATGCGTATAGGAATCGATTTCATATTATAGGAATAGTGACTTATCGCGCTATACACATAATGATATACACCAACCGTCGTAAAATTTACGTCCCAGTCGGGCGACGACCTTTTACGAATCATATCATTTGTTTTTATATTATTATGCATATATATAAATGTATATATTGTACTCTTATACGTGGCCGTTACGGGACGACGACGACTGCCTTACTGCTTGGTGCAACGGGCAGTGACGTTATTTTCAACGAGTCGCCTTTTCATTTACGGGAAAAGTTTCATCGAATAAAAATGTTCTTTCCAAAATAATAGTGCACTTGGTCCTATCGACGTGGTTCGGAATACGACATAGGCTAAACCTTTTTGTATAAACACACACATACACGTGTATAGTGACCATTTGCCAGACGACGTTTTTGGGGCCAAATCGTCGAGTATGCTATTTTATATACCAGCTTGCGCGATAAGAAAGTAAGTAGGTACGCGCGACACCGACGAAAATCCTTTTTTTTCATCCAATCCACTCTTCGTTGTTCCCTTTAATCGGATATTGTTATTACTAATCAATACATATGATGGCTGCAGAGCTACAATTTCTTCTCCACGTAAATAAGTATAAAATACCAAAATTCGTGTTATATATATACACGCATATATTATAACATAATATTATCATTGTTTCATAAAACAGAAATCAAAAATATATATACCAACATATGCTTGCGCGTAATATCTGAGCCGAATATTTTGAATTTTTTAGAATATTTCTGTTTTGCAGTTCTATTAAATTAGTCCAAAATTAAACATCGAATAATCTCGTAAAAAACAGAGTATCTACTCTCACTGTCCATAAATATAAATTAAAAAAGTATGTTAATATAAATTTGGTATTTAGATGACAATATTTTCATAATTTTTTGATGATTAAATTAACTAAACTGCTCAAATTTCCAAATGATCAGTGATAATAAATATAAGAATTTATAAAAAAAAAAAAAAAATGCCAAATCAGTAAATTTTTAATTATCATTAAAAATATATTAGTCATTTTATAAAATACCATTGCGAACTTCAAATACACAGAGTTTACTAAGTAAAATAAACAACAATTTTTGATAGAATAAAAGTAACTACAATAACATATATAAATAAGTATATTTTTTTAATATTGAAGCATTGTAATATTTGTAATATTTGAACGAATGATGTTCAATTATAGACATAGCTATGGTTTATGAATTTCAGTATGTCACCTTGTAATATTATCACCTTATTAAATATAGATAAATACTAATAACGGTTGTCTAACGTAATAGATATAAGACGTCATGTAAATTGTAAAGTATAGTTTAGTCAGTATAAATAACTATGATATTGTTTTATCTGTATATTATGTACGTTTGTTTTAGAATTACTAAATATCGTAAACTGTTATATATATATAAGATGAAAAAAAGACGAAAATTCAATTTAGTGTTTGACCGAAAATAACAAAAATTTCTTAAATTTTTACTGTAAATAAGTTTAATTCCGATTTATTCAATCTACGAACAATAATTTTAATAATTTTTAAACGAAAATATATAATATTATCATTAGAATATAACATCGAAATAAATACATTATAATATGAGGTAATTTATATCCATAAGAATATAAGATACTATCTTAATTTAAATAATACGATGAGTATTTTACTTTAAAATTATCTGTTTAGTACATAGGTAATGTCCTAAAAATCATATATAAATCAATACTTATTTGTGGCAAGTTAAATCATTTAAATTTAATTCTCACAAAGACAATCCATAAGAATAACTTCTTTTCTAGTTATTTTTTATTTTTTAGTATGCCTCAATTTATTTAAAAAATTTAAAATAAATTCATTTAGTAAAACATTGAGGAAGTCGGAGCAACTTAGTATTTTATATGACCTAAATAATAATTATTACTATTCATATTTTATTTCTAAAATGTAGGATAATTCATTATAGTTAAATTATATTAAAGACAAACTATAGATTTACAAAAAAAGAACTGATGTAACGTTATGCTGAAAGTTTCACAATTTTTCACGGATTATCATAAAAACAATCTTCTGAATACAATCTAGATTAATTTAGATAAATGTGATTTATTTAGTTCTCTGCTAACGAATATTATTTTTACAAAAACCGAAAGTTTTGACTTTTCTAATTGGGAAAATATAATTAATTTAGTTTAGTACACACATTTTTTGAATATATAGCTCGAAAAAATTGATTGAAAATAAAAATTTAAATGAAAATGAAATTTCACACATTTCTTTGTCGAAGTGTTTGATTGATCTTTGTGGACAATTAATTTTTGGTTATTGAACACTGTTGAAAAAAATCCATTTAAATAATAAATATATTCACCCCAGATATACATATATTATGGTGAAATAGAGCATTTTGAGATACTTTGTATTTGTTTACAATAGCCACTAGGGATGATGACGCTTAAAAATAATAAATTTCATTAAAAACACTTTACAAATAATGCACGAAAATCTTCGTCATTATTTGTTGCCTGTACATTTATAAACATGTTTGATTTAAAATATACCTTCAGTGATTCGAAATCGATGAGTACGAGTAAATGTATAATCTTATTTACTCTCCACAGCGCATGTGGATTCCGAGTGTGATGTTTGCGAAGTCCCTATCTACCTGAGTATCTACCGTCCGACCGACCGATACTATGCGTTAATATTACGTATGTTGTACACATATACAGTTTTACAAATTACTCGCGAAAAGTATTTTTTTCAGATTTAATTCAGTCGGATTTCGAGTTTGAATGTACATTACGGTGGCGCTATAGTCGTATTTACCTCCCGGCTACGGTGTCGACGGAAGAGATCCGCCGAACAAGAAACGAGGGCGTCGCGGACGCGGCTCGGGCTTATGGAGGGGAGTGGCGGCGGCGGTGGACGGGAAGGAGAGCAGGATGTCAGACACTTAAATACCGAGATTAAATTCGATTGGTACACAACACGTCTTGTATGTATGTTTAAATAATTAAAACTATATATACGCGCGGACTGATCAGTTTAATGTTGCGGATTGTTTGCACGCGCGCGACGGCGGTGCAGAACGAGAGTAAACGGTAAACCGACTGTCTATGTGCGTGTGTGCGTGTGTGTGCGTGCGGGTGTAGAGAGAAACGTATAAATGGTGACAGAGAGAGTATGACTGAGCTAGTGAGAGTGCGGGGGCGGAGGACGACGAAACGGACGTACGGTAGGCTGGGAGGAGAAACAAATGGGTTTGAGTTATTGGAGAGAACGCGGTGGTGGTGGCGGCAGCAGCCGGGTGGGACGTTTCGTAAACGCGCAGTTGACTCATAAGATAATGCCAATAAATTTAATGATAAACCTTATTTAAGGGGACAGTTTCGCTTCCATTACAAACAAACGCCCTTACGTGCCACCAGCCGCCCGAAAGCAATAACCAAATACGGTTTATACGCGTATAGTTGTCCTGCCCCGCGCGTCCCCGCAGTCCTAACGGCCGCCGCCGCCGTCCTCGCCACCAATCACCCACCCGTCTCGGCCGCCTACACCCCTTCACGCACAGCCGCCGCGCACACACATACACACGCGCGCGCCCCCGATCGTCGTCTGTTCATCGTTTTCCGACTTTGTCGTCCTGTTCCTCCGTAAGCTGCGTTGCTCAGGGGTCGAGGGGTAGGTGCAGGTTATCCTCCATAAAATTGACCGTTTCATTATAAACGTGACCTGATTGTAACCGCCTTGTACCCGAAGGGAATTCACATATTATTATTATTATTGTATAGGGCAGAAGAGTAAAGGAAAAAAATAAAAATATCGCCTCGGGGTAGTTCATAATCGAATTTACCGGTATTTCCTGCGCGTAACGTAAATGCATTATGTACTTTTCACCCAACACCATACCCGATCCGTTCCGTCGGCCACGCGTACATTACAATAAACACTTGTGTTTATAATATTATTATTATGATTGTATACGCCGCGCTCAAATCGGATTTAGACCGTACGTGGTGTTTACGCATATATAGTATTATTATGTACTACGGAATCGTAAATAACGACGACACGGAATAAACCGAAAAAAAACCCGAGCTAAAACGCAAGTGTACGATTTTCGGGTCTCGAAGACTGGATGCATGCCTGCATGGTATACATACCTGAGTAGTTGAGAGGAAAACATTTCCGAGGATTCGGTCGGTTAGGTTAGAGTGATGTCACAAATCAATGATCATTGCCTTATTCTCTTGATTTTTGACGGTAACAGTTCAATTTTACTAAACAATTTGAACTAATGATATGGTTAATTAATATTATTTTATTATTTGTTAACAGTGCATGCAGGCATGCTATGACTTGGGTATTGTAAAAAAATAATAATAATATACCGTGTAGTTTACACATGTTCATGAATATTATTATTCATTTGAGGTATTGTTTTTAATCGCCCTTGGGGTTGTTATCACCCCTTGTATAGTACTCCACAAGATATTTTGTCGATTATTTGATTAGAAAGTGTATGTTAGCCAGTCTAACGTGTTGATATTATAGCACGACCACCATCTGGGGTGGTTTTCAATAGAAGAGAAGAGAAATGGGTCATGATAAATATAGTTCAAAATCCAATACATTTTTTCAGATCCTTCATAATAAAGCGTTCGGTATTAACACGAAGACGATGAATTGTCGTGACAGAAATATAAATAGAAATTACGGCTACATAGTGTGATTTATAAACATAAATAACGATATTTTGCAGTTTTAATCCTGAATTAATGTATTGTTGTTGTTTTTATTGTACTGTTATTAAATTAATACAAATATTTAATTACAATATCAGTTTTAATATTATATTTTAAAAATCTCTTTAAATTAACATAATATAATTCGTTTTTCGATTAACAGAAAAATATTTAAAACAACTATTTACAATTATAAAGAAAATTATTTTAGTTTAAATCATATTATGAATTATATTTAAAGCACTTGATATTTGAAAAACACTATAATTTATTATTAAATAAATATTATTCTATAAATTTTTATAAAGAATCTGGAATTGTGTATCATAATTTTTAATTTTAAACTATAAATTTTATTTATGTTTTAAGTTTTAAATCTAAGTATCGGCATATATTCATTTTTGCATATGTGTTAAAAGTATAAATTGTAATGTCAGTAACAATTGTCAATATATGTTAAGTTCTGTTTAAAATTTTTATTAAAAAAAAAAAATAAGTATTACATATTCAGATGAAGTTGTTGAAATAATTAAATTTTTACGTAATGTTTTTAATTAATTTTTAGTAATTACTTATTTTTTAACATAATATTATATAGTGCAATTTAACCATATTCGACATATTTATAGTTAAAGATTTAAATGTTAAAATTGTTGACAAAAAATATATTATATTGAATATTATAATGTATAAATTTAACCTTGTAATAATTTAAATAATAATAAATAATTCAAGAAAACGTTTTAATTATGTTCATTGAAATTCACCACGTTACTTAACATACTCTTATATATCACATTTACTATAAATAAGTATCGGTTCAGAACGTAATAAATGAAAAAAAAAACTCAACTATTGAACAACTGCTTAAGTTTTCAATCAAAAGTAGATCCAATTTTGTAATCTTAGCAGTTAAATATGTACCTATAATCTATGTAATATCTGTACACTTTCAATGAAATCTTTTCTTAGTATTAAGGTTTTGAAGTAAAATTGAATCAACAAAGAGATGTACCTAATTAACATCGTATTTTAGTGTATAGTGTAGTATTTGATTATATCTCTTTGTCCAAATTGAAAATGTTATTTTCCGGGAAAAACCTTTTATCTGATTGTTTTGACGACAGTATAAATTGAGAGAAAGAGTGTGAGAGTAGAGAGAGAGAAAAAAACATTTTCGAAATTCAAGTTGAGCACTAAATACTCAGGTGAAATCCAATATTATACGACTATTAACAATAAGACTTCAAATATCTTTTTAAAATTGAAATCAAATGACATTATGTTAATAATTAAGCAAATAAAATAAATTAATTAAAATGAAAAATTGGAAATATATTCAGTAAAAAGGTGATCTAAATACGACGGCTATTATACATTGACATGGAATAATTTTTTATGTACAATTTTATCTTTTATGTGAATATTAACGATTATTTCATGAAAATAATCAATCCGTTGTTGAGTAAGGGGAAATTATATCTTTTGTGCGAGTATAGAAGAATAAAACCACACCAGATGCATTTCATGAAATACCATTCAACCAAGTTAAACTAGCGTGGTGAGGTGAATGGAGGTTGAGATATTCTTTACAAGAACGTAATTATATATTCAAGGATTAACAAAGGAGTTGCACACGCCGGGAATTTGTTCGCTATTATGCCCGTCTAAGGAATTGTTAACCGTCTCACCTAGCTGGATGGAAGTTTTTTTTTTTAAATCATTATATTTGATAAACTTTCCCGAGTATATACGGTCTCTTTTGTTTCAAGATGTGTTATGTTTTTTAATTTTATCACCGCACTCTGAAGCAGAATTACCATCTTGTTTTGATTATTGTTGTTTCTTGTTTGTTTCTCATTCAATCCGGAGACGACTTCGTAAACTTGAGCCAAGAATTACGAAAAAGAGACACCGGTCGTCGTCCCGCGAGGTGTTAATCTTCAATGAATTAGTCAAAATGGTATTAACATTCAAGAGACACTCTACGCAAAAGTTTTCAACTCTGTTAACCGAAACATTATTCCTTATTAAGTTCGTACTAATTAAAGTCAACCCAGCTTTATCGTTGGATTTTGAGGACCAGGGAAGATGAAAAAAACCCCAAAAAACTTAAACAGTTTTGAAACTACTTTGAAACCACAGGACACTTAAAATGTTAATTTGTTTGTTCTACTCAACTGTAATTCAAGACTCAAAGTATTCCGATGACGTTCTACAATCATTTTACATAGGCATCAAATTTGTCTTGAATATTAAAAATTATTTTTAAATATAGTGGTAAAATAAGAAAATCCAATCTCATTAAAAAATACGATTTTTCGAGGTTATTTAATCAAATATTATATCAATGATTACATTAAAAAGATATTTTTATCAGTATTTTGAATAATATAAAATATTTGTACTCAGTATGTTTATCAAAGCGTTTGTAATATAATTTTAATTGTTTGTTAATAAAATGTAATTTATAGAATTCTATTGTTTATATTTATGAAGTATTTATTATATAATTATTATCACAAGCTCATTTGTCTCAACAAGTAATAATTAATTTAAAAATTTTATTCACATTGCAGATTAAAAATATATATCGTGTTTGTATTTTATTTGTTGTTTTAACGATAAGATTTAGTTTTTGCGAAAACTCTATTACCTTAAAAAATATTTGATAATAGTTACAGTGAATTATCCGTGATGTATGTGATTATTTTACGAATATAAATCAAACCACTTTGAAACATCTTTAGCAAAGGACTATGATAATATAATTAATAGTAATAAACAAAAGATAATAAATAATATGTTAGAAACTATTATATAATATATATTATAAGATAATGAGAAATAGATTATACCAAGCTGACTTAATTTATGAAACGCGGTAAAAATTGGAATTATGTGTGTTTTTAGTTTTTAAAAGAATAAAGAGATTAAAATTTAAGGAAAAAAACGATAATAAAATATAACGTTATCTGGTTTCCTTTGACGTTTTTTTTCTTTTTTTTTTTTTTATATAAATACGAAGTCTTAAATTGAATAGTTTGCAGTAATTTCCTTCACCCCGTTCATGATAATATTAAAATAGGTTTCTTTTAATTACTTTTTCTCTGCAGAAAAAAATAAATAACTATTCGCTATAATAAATTCTTGACAAAAGATTAGTGTTTGTGGCAGTACCGTTTACACGAAGAAATATTAAGTTCCAAATGAATAGAAACATTTTGTCATGAATGACATTCACGGAAATTTAAAGACTTTCTACCTCTCTTCATCCTATTTTTAAACTGGACTTATGTATACATTTAGAAAATAGTTAATTAATTCTTTATAATTACAATTAAAGTTTTTATTTTGTATGTAAATCATAATTATTTTATTATGTATACTACGAGCTAATTTAATTTTAATCTTAAGCTTTTGAAAATATAGTAAAAGTGTAGAAAATACATTCCAACACGAAAATGTATACTAAATTAATACTTAAATATAATTACTTTTATTATATTATATATTATTTTAAATTTATGAAAATATAGTTTATTGATTGTTTGACGAATATGTTTAAAATGTATACCTATAATATAAATAATCTATTAATCTTTAATAATATATTATGTAGATTTTTCAAATCAGAAGTAAGTAGTAGCATTTGTGTACTATGTTAAATTTTATCGAATCATAATTATTTTATATAATTGTAAAAAGTGATAAATTCTATATTTTTAATACATTAATATTACATTTTAATATATTTTTAAATTCCTATGTTACATGATACGCGAATATATTCTATACGCAATATATTTTTTATTTTTTTAATTATGCAATTATGTGTTTAACAATGTGCAATTTTAATGTTATGGGTCAAGGAACTATTTATTACGAAGATGGCTGAGAATATTTTCAAGCAAATGAGCTATTAGATACTTGTAGTTTTTACTACTAACATACCTATTATATATGATTTACTTACATGGGTAAAATGATTTTATATGAAATATCATGACTCAATTAAAATTTATCGGACAGACAATGTAAGAAACAAATGAGAACGTATTGAATGAAATGGAAAAAAAAAGTTGTACTGGGAAATATAAATAGAAAACGTTGACATATGATTGGCCACACACTGTGACACGTTGACACAAACTGCACAACCCGATAACAACAGACGGTAATAATACTGTCGATATAAAATGTGTAAGAGTTGCCAAGGAAAATCAACGGAACGAATAAGACACGTCCATGAAACGCAAATAGAAGAGTGAGCTGTAGGGAAGTTATCTGTTTTTAAATCAATCTAAAAAATCAGCGTCAAAACAGCTAAATAAAATAATTTTCATCTCATAGTGTAAAAGTATTTTATATTACCAAACTGTAAAATGCATTGAAAGTTAAGTATCTTGATAACATAAGTATCTTTATACTTCACGCGTAAACATTGACGATCAACAACAAAATTCGTTATCTATAATTTATTATAATTATATACTTGTATGTTTCTCACGTATTTTGACGTCGATATGGTCATACGACTAATGTTTTGACGATAAAATGTCTAGCCAAAATACGTATCTTCAATATATGTATAAGTACACTCGACTAAGTAACATAGTTTTATTTGAGTTTGTTTACACTAAACAGAGAAACTGTTCGACATTTGACATTACGAAAGTGTGATGCTTATACCTTTGAAACTTTCTGTCCACTGAGATACAAATTGTTAAATAACGAACCTTGTACACGCAGTGTTATATATATATATATATATAAACTACGTTTGATGGACAGTTTTAAGATGTTCGTATTACACACTATTACATTGACAATTATACGTTTCTCTGTTCACAAGTTAGGTAAAGACTTTTTTTCGTTAAAAAATCGATGGCGGTGTTAGGTATTTTTGCTAGGGTTAAATATATTGTATATAATATATTGATATAAATTACTCAGAACATGATATTCCCACAAGATTGGTTTCTCAGTTGAATAATGTAATGTAAGACCATCAGTGGTAAACG